GGGGTGAGAGGGTCAGTAAAGTCTGAAACTCCATTAGGTCCTGGTGAGAGGGCAATGAACAAAGGTCAGCTGATCCTAGTGAGTTACCTTTACCACCAGAACAGATCATTAGGGCAGAGTCGCCGTTGAGTATAGTTGGATATCAGTACAATTACTCAACTCTGAGATAAACGTTAGTTGCACAACATGCGAGGTAAGTAATACAACGCGTAAGAAAGTACTACCACTTAACTCGTGTTTCCAATTCGGGGAACAAGGGCCGGTCGTGTAAGACGCGTGCCGGATGAGAATAGCACACGACTCCAATGTAGAAAGTCAATTGAAGGGAAAGAGGATGCATAATAATAACAAGCAGCCTATTTAACTTCAATTCAATCCTGTGAACGCAGGGGGACTGACGAAACATTCTAAATGAATTGGAAGCAACTAGAGAAGGATGTACCACACAGAACTAGGCGCTGTCACGATGAATCCCGTGACCCTTCGATAGCAGCACCGTTTCGATCCGTCACGTAACAGTCGTTGTACCACACACTATCTACAGGTACCAGTGGTGCCCTTTTTCTTCTGTTACATGTGTCTATGTACATATTCGGATAGGTGAGAAACCTCTTTGTGAAAACCCAACTGGGATAATCTCAAAAGAGGACAACTGGCCCCTACCTAGCACAGCCTTCCTCCATGATGTTTCTCCTCTGTCCCCTGCGACCGAGTTTGAGAGGACCTGCTTCAATGATTGTTAATAAGCCAGTGGTATAGCAGAGTTTGGTAAGCTCCATATACTCTGTGCGTATAAATTTGTCAAAGTTTTCCTCACCCATTCTATTGTCACATTATGAGCCGCTTCTGAGCTGAGGTAATGAATTGAAATTGTCTTGTCAATCTCACTAGGTTGAACTTTGCGCCGTTCGTGGTCAATACCCTTTTTCACCCTTTCCTTGTCCAAAGCCAGGACTGATACAGTGATGGTGTCAGTACCAATGTGATGTTCTGCATCTGTCACCAGACCATTGTCGAAAAAGGATTGAAGCTTTTCAGTCACACTCCTGCTGGTCAATTTCATCATGAGTTCTAGGGTACGGGTATTTGATGTATGCTCATGCTGTTCAGCTACAGCACAAATCTCTGATCCAAGCTCAGCTTTCAAAGTAGTTAATTCTGTTTCCACCAAGGATCCCACTCGGTCATTGGCCAACTCGGACTGACACCTAGCAAACACACTTTCTGCCGTCCATGTCTCCGGGTCTTGACGTTCAACCGATGGTCCTACCAGAACTTGACTCGAAACAACAATATTGACATTATCCTCCCCCCAGGCAAATTTCAGAATCAAGCCGACTGCTACATCCTCCCCCTCGTTATCCGGGCCTTGCGTGATTTCAGTGGGGATGAATACCCATTTGCCTGCCATTGTGGAAAAGTATTGGATATCAAGTAAGTAAGGAAGGGAGAGAATTTATGTCTCAAGGGGAAGTAGATCAGCCTTATCAAATCACGGCGGAGTTGAAATCGTGTACGTGTCGGGAGAAGGGAGGGTCCGTGCTGTGTATGAAGATCTCTGCCTCTAAAAGTACAGGTTTAGTGCCCAATACTGTTGCTTTTGTTGGTAGTGATTGCTAGAGCGGTAGTTACAGGCAAATGTATCCGGTAGTTCTTAGCTCTGTAGAAAGCAATGAAGAACCACCAGGAAGGAAACAATTTGGTAGTATGAGTTGCTTATCACAATGAAGTGTATTTCAACACTCCCCCTTGTCACATACTTCTTATTTGTCCTTTTCCCGGTATACCTGCTAGGTGCCGTACAGAAGACGTGCCACTTCGAAGTATCATGGGTCTGACAGTGCCAGACTGAAGATGTGACCCACACAAGAAGGATCACCATTTTTATGAGAAACACTTGCAGGTCCAGAACAACTTTACAGCTGTGACAAGATGGTCCTCATCTGTTCTCTGTTAAGAAGGGGAGGAAGTAGCTTATCAGACGCTTGCACTTTTCACTACACAAGATGAAGGTTCTTGCATCACTTTTCTTTCTCCCATGCATGTGTACCAGATTGCTTGTGGTAGTCTCCTTATGGTCACTTTCAAGTATCGTAGGCTTGATCTACAGTCAGTCTTGGCCAGCGATGTTTGACAAACTTCAAATCATCTGAGCTGCATGACCCAAAAGATGTGACTCTTCAAAGTGTCATGACTTCAACCTGTGCAGCTTTGAAGTGGCACACATCTTCAGTCTGGAATGTAAAGGGATCTGTCACAGGGTTGATTCTTTGTTTACTTCTCAGGACCGACGGCCAATAACTTTGTGGACTACAACCTTCAACAGCCATGTTCTTTGAGATATGAATAGGTGACAATAACTTCTGGGTGTGATAACTCTGTGCTTTACTAACTTCTATCACTAAGCCAACAACCAGAGATCGTCAAAGATCTCTGGGAACTTGGGCCTTTAAGTACTTTGTTCCTCCCTAACTTCCCCAACACAGAACTGTCACGACTCTACCAAGCGTGACCCGAGTTCACGTGATTTCAACACATTCCAACTGAATTCATGCGACTTGGATATAAGTTCCAATGAATTCATATCTGTACCTGTGATATCACCATGATATCATACGAGTTCATCATGATACCATATGAGTTCACCATGATACCATTTGAGTTCACCATTGTTACGGAGTAACAACGAATCGAGAGGACTCTATCGAGTTCGACGGATTAGGACAGAGGAAAGCGGGAGTTGGAGGCAGTGCTGCAGTAGGTAGGGACAGGTTTTCCCCTTTCGAGATTTCCCCACTGGGTTTGCTCAAAGCGGTTTTTCACCTGTCCGAGTATGTACGTAGACGCTTGCAGCAGGAAGGAGACGAGGACAAGGATAGCCGTAGACAGTATATAGTACAATCAGCAAAGTACCAACTTTGCTGATTCTTCAATATCATTCTTTGGCTACATCGATTGCAGAGGAGACACGATCCATTAGCACCAGAGCCCCTAGATTTCCACGAGACATCCATCGAGTTCGACCCAACCTGCGACCTAGTCGTCGTGTTTCCAGTACCGTTACAAGTTGAAGAATCAGCCTTACGCACCTTGGGTCGAATCGGAGAGTACTGTATGCTCACCAGAGGGAAAGCGCGGAAAATGATACCAGAAAAAGAGGAGTTGGAACAAGGGCTGGTCCCAGAGGAAGAAATACCAACAAGTTCTTCGAGAAGTACCATTTCACATGATCTCACTTCTACCACCACTACCCCAGATCCGCTGAATGAGTTATCGCAGCAGTTGTCACAATTGTTAGCCATTATGACGATGCAACAAAAGGAACAAAATGCATTAAGAGAAGAACTGGCTACGATGAAAGCTGACCGACAGAACCAACAGCTACTCACATCGAAAGGGGCAAGTTCGATCGAAGTCGAAGAAAACAAGCCGTATTTGGAGCCAAAACTTAACAACAACGAACGAACAGGAAGAACCAGGTGTGCGGATCCACCTACCTTCAGTGGAGAACGAGGAGAATTGGACAACTTCCTTGCAGCATGTCACATGAACTTCGAGTTCAAAGGGGCAGAGTACGCCACCGATCGCAGGAAGATCCTGTTCATGTACGGGTATCTTCGAGGCACCCCTCAAATGCTTCTAACCCCGGCCATAACCAATCCAAGTATATGGAATTCGACCGAATGGCTAGAGAGCTACGACAAATTCATTCAGCATTTACAAACTCAATTTGGAGATAGTAACATGGCAGGTACGGCTATGATGAAATTGCAAGAGTTAAGACAGACTGATACGGCCGCCGAGTATTTTGCCAACTTTGAACTTTGGTCCACACACCTTGGAAAGGTACCAGATGCAATGAAAATCGCCTCAGCCATACAGGGCCTGAAGGAAGAGCTACTGAAGGTGGTAGTGGTAAATAACACCGACCCTCGAACCAAATCGGACTGGATCTATTTCAAACAGCATGTGATAGGGACTGAGGAGAACCAACGGATGGCTGAAACGATGATTGCAGCGAATCGATGGGCTGCTAGACGCAAACATGAGACGACCTGGCTTCCCCCTCGATCGAATTCGATGCGATTGGATACTAGTTTGCCCAACCCGGTAGAACGCCACTCACAATCGACTGGTAGAGGACCCTTGCCCGGTGGAAAACCAGGGATGATGAATTATGGTCTACCAAATGACCCTCCGGTCACTTGGACAGAGGACGGAGGACGTCTCAGCGAGAACGAAATGACTTGGAGGAGGGAGAACCGACGTTGTCTCAAATGTAGAAGTCCAGAACATTACGCCAACAACTGTCCAAATGGAGGAAATACGAGAAACAACATTAGGGGATCCCCAAACCCGCATAGCTCACCAATTCCTAGTGGATCGAACTCGATCCCAACCGGATCCAAAGGGCCATTAGTTTGAGGAATGGCGGTAACCTTTGAAGAAGAGGGAAACGAATACCTGGCCTAAGTGATGCGACCACTTGCGGCCAGGATCTAACAGAATCGCACAAAATTCAACTACCAATAGATCTTAGTAATGACTCGGCTATAATATACATAAAAATACAGACAGAAGAAGATACCCTACGATTTGGAATGTTAGTTGATACCGGAGCTACCGGAAGATACGTACAGCCGGCCTGTCCATTATACCATTTATTCCCCAAAAGACAGTATCGGGAACCACGGAAGATTAGGTTCCTCGATGGAACAACCGCGACGTTAGTGACCAAGTATGTAGAAGCTGAATTGGATTTAGGAGAAGGACTCAAGATTGCGACTCGATTGGATGTGATGGCATACGAAGGCCCCGAGGTACTGGTGGGATTGGATTTCCTGAAACAGTTTAGGGCAAGGATTGATTGTGGAAAGGGATTGATCGAGTTCGACGGAATCGGACAAGATAACGGTTGGAAGTATCCGAGGTTGGAGGAAGGATTGGTAAGAGGAACAGCATTGGAAAAAGGAGAACATGAGATGAGCGAAGAAGAGTTACGACAGGTCATACCGACACAATGGCACCCATCAATAAAGGGAACCACCGAACTTCACCCAGTTGCGTATTGGTCTCGAGCAATGACACCCTGTGAGCTAAACTACACGGTAGGAGAGAAAGAATTACTAGCCATCGTGGATTGCTTGGTCGCCTGGAGGCCCTACTTGGCCAACAGCAGTGATGTTATAAAGGTCATTACAGATCACAAGAACTTAGAGTACTTCCAAAGCAAACGACAACTAAATCGAAGGCAGATGAGATGGTTGGAAATATTGGGAGACTTCAACATAGAGATCACTTATCGACCGGGTAGCAAAAATGGGGGAGCAGATGCTCTGACGAGACGAGGTGTCACGACCCGGCTAAGACAGTGTCGTGACCCATGACCCTGAGGCGAGAAGAGACGAGGAGACACGAGGAGACACGAGGAGACACGAGGAGACACGAGGAGACACGAGGAGACACGAGAGGAGACGAGGAGACACGAGGGGAGACGACATTGGATGTGCATGAGATCCCCTTTGAAAAGTATAAATACTGGACCTATCTACTTTGTAGTTTCTTTTCTCCAAGGATCAAAATATTATTTGCCACTCACAAAAGACCTCTTCTTGACATATTACTTACATCCCAACACATCCCTCATTATCATTACCCCTGTCCACACCATCACACACACCCTTATTGTCATCTCGACCTGCCCGGATCCTTCGCAAGTCACTTTAGTCGTCCGACCACATCACAAGTCTGCGGACAACATACTAATCGTCGTTGTCAAGCTAACTAAACAGTTGCAGTCCACCTGTCTTTGGTCCATTGAGGTCTGTCAAGGACAGGACCGTGACACGAGGAGATTATCATCCGGGAAGAGGGAGTAGCAAGGACCCGGATCTAAACAAAGGCAACTGGCTACAATTGCTACCGACACGCGAACAAGTTGGATCGAATTCAATGGACATCAGAACACAAAGGACCAAGACACATAGTAAGAGGAGCAATCCGGGAAGATTCATTATTCGGACTCATCAAGAACGGACTGAAAGACTCAGAAGACATAGCAAACATACGACAACTAGGACTACAGATGACACAGACACATAGCACACAGAGCACACCGAGCACCCAGAACACACAGGACACACAGAAGACACAGGCTAGCAGCGAGACACCAATAGTATCATGGACACAGAGCGGATTACTCTTGTACAAAAACAGAGTAGTCATACCAGAGGGACAGGCAAGATTAGAAGTAATGAAAGCAAGACACGATTCGATACTAGTGGGTCATCCAGGAAGAGACAAAACTATCACCATGGTCAAAGAGGACTATTACTGGCCACATTTGGACGAGTATATTGCAAAATACGTAAAAGGATGCGAGATCTGTAACCGACACAAGATTCATCGACA